GAAAGTGAAATGGAAATTAATTAATTTATATTACTAAAGTTTTATTGCTTTTAAAGGATTTGAATAGTACTCATAATATGAGACCTTTACTACAGCATCCCAATGTCAGACAAGTAGAAACTAGTGGCACTGACTTCTTGTGTATTACATGTATACATGTAAAGTTTTGAATGAAAGAAATCAATAACATCATTATGAACAATTATAGATGTGTTAGATAAAAGGATTGTTAGTTTTCATAAGAACTGTAAGGTTTTCAGATATTTGGAAAGAATCTAAAGGTTGTTGCTGTTAATTTATTGAATAGAGTAGATTGTTTTGTTTTGGAGAAATGGGATGGATTAGACTCATTTGAAGTAACTAGTTTACATGTGAATTTCTAGCAGCAAATCATACAGAGAATATGGAAGTTAATGGAGGAGTAGAGATTCCAAGTAGGAGGTCAACGATCCTTCGTGGTCATGAATCTGAGGTTTTTATCTGTGCTTGGAACCCTACAAAAGACCTGCTGGCTTCAGGGTTGGTGTGTTATACTGTGTAGTCAGTCCAGCTTCTATCTAATTAAATTAAACCTGTTAAATAAGATATAGGTGTTGTTATTAAATAATAGAAACAATCCATAATGATGACTACAAGTGATTCTACATTTTGTTTTTGTTACTGCACTGTGAAAACAAGATTAGAATATCCTTCATTGTAGACTGTCATATGTTTGATTTATCAGATTAGTCTTTCTTGTATTATGAAACGCAAATCATGTTACAGTCGGAGTCTCTTTCTGTCCATTTATGTAAGGTATGTTTAACAAGTGTAGCACTTTTGATGTTCAATTTGTCCTGTTATATAAGTATTTAATGATTATTCTCTGTTATTGTGTATTGTATGTTTGGTAGTTGCATATATTTTAGTACTGTTGACTTTGAATTTTCTCAAATAGGAGTAACACTAATTTGATTTATAATATCATAGAAACTGTGACAATAAATTGCTAGGTTTTGTAAAGGAGTCTTGGTTTTATAAGTTTGTAAGTTTCTGTTTTATTCTAACTTTTCTGAGACATTCTGCTCCTTTCTTGGAAGAAGTTAATAAAATGTTCTGCTGAATCATTAAATATAAAACATTTGAGTTCCTACAGTGTAACTTTATACCTCTTAAGTAATTTACCAAAATATTATTTCTCACTAGACGTGAGTCTTCTGGCAATTCTTTAACAACATATTTGAAAGTTTGGTAAGACGAGTAGGTATATTTTATTGGTAATGACAATTGGGCATATTTTATTGGTAAGACGTGGGTATATTTTATTGGTAATGACAGTTGGGCATATTTTATTGGTAATGACAGTTGGGCATATTTTATTGGTAATGACAATTGGGCATATTTTATTGGTAGTGACAATTGGGCATATTTTATTGGTAATGACAATTGGGTATATTTTATTGGTAATGACAATTAAGATGAACAAAAATCTCAGAAATGGTAAAGAAACTGAAGTGTTTTTGATAATAGTCCATCTTGGTGTAAAATCATTGTTATTTGGAGGCTCAGCCATTCCTCCTGTAACTGTTTACCCAGTTCCAACTTAGAGAAAACTGAATGTCAGAAATCTGTGTCAGTATCGTGTTTAAGTGATAAGGCATAGATCAGGAGTGCATTATGTTATGAAACAGTTCAATGACTTCTTATAAAGATGTGTTAATGCATCCTACTTTGTTTCTTCTCAAAGTGGATTTCTTGTAAACATCTCATCATTCGTATTACATGTGATTTTAAAATAGTTATTTTGTTTTGATGCTGAGAAAGACAAATAAACCAGTTTTAGAAGGGTAATTCTCATCAGCATTTACATTTTTATAGTAAAATGCCCAGATTGGAAATTGAATGAAATTCCATATTGAGGCAACCATATTCCATATTTTTCGTGAAAACTGTATAGAATTATATAAACCTAAACAGTCTTTAGTTCTATATGCAGTATAATATGGAATATACCTGTTTCAAGGATATGTGGCAAATTGAATTCATATTTTTTCATTTGGTACTTTTTTTCCAAAATGTTTCATTCTGGATATTTTACAATATCCAAGATCACAAGATCAATACTTCCATTCTCAAGCAGGTAACTTTCCCAATAATGCAGAATATGCCTAATGTCTTAGGAGGTAATTAAAGTATGATATTGTCAAAAAAAGTAACATTAACATGGGGCTTTATGCTATTTTTACAGAATGGGTCAAAATGAGCAAATTTTCATATGTTGGGAGGCGTACCTAAAGATGCGCCCCCCCAGTGGCACAGCGGTGTGTCTGCGAACATACAATGCTAAAATCTGGGTTTCGATACCCGTGGTGGGCAGAGCACAGATAGCCCATTGTGTAGCTTTGTGCTTAATTACAAACAAACAAACAAACCTAAAGATGCAAATCATTAAGGAGCTGTTAGTTTACACTTTTATAGTTAAAATAACAAGGATTCAGCTTTTAAGGTATTTTATATCAGTTATTAATGTTAGATAATTAATAGAAAAATAGCAAATTTGTATAGAAAAAAATTAGTTTCTTATTTTTGGCACCTGGCTCTAAGACAAAACTTATTATGTTACCTTCTTGAAAATTTGTTTTTATAGATGAATTATGATGAATCAAGTTGGTAAGGACAATAATGATAATTAATATTTCAAACAGTGAACATTCATAGATTTGGAACATCTTTTTAAAATACCTAAATAAGGTTACACTATTTTGGGATTTTAGTGTGTGTAACCAGTATAATATTATAACAATCAACAGGATCTATTGATACTTTGTTTTTAAATGTCTATTCTACAAATTTCAACAAGTAATATTTGAATGAATAACAATTCTGTAATACAGTAATAAAACCTATGTGTGATAATGACCTGTATGTTTTTACCAGTTGGAGAGGAACCTCAACTACTATTAGTGTTAAAATTATTAGCTCGTATATCTTCATTTTATAAAAATATCTGTGCCCCAAGATCATAAAGTACATATGTAAGTTCAAATTGAAGATTGTTTCTTGATGCAAACAAATGTCCATTAAAATATGATAGCCTTAAAAAAATCCAGCACCCTTCCACCAACCCTTGTCTGGTCATGACAAGGCTTTGAAGTACAGTACTAACATGAATTTCAAGTCTACTGAGTAAAAGTTATTTTATAACATGAGTACCACAACCACTCTAAATATTGATAGTAACACATATTTTTGTTATATACTTGTATGTTTCAGCAAACACATCATATAGTAGCCATCTATATTAATTTTTTACAGAGCACACTTTTGCCATTATCTAGGAGTACCAGTGTTGAAATATTTGTTCTATAGTCTTTATTCTTTATAAGACATTAGCAATAATTATTGATCTTCTTAGGTAGTTTTGGCCTGGAAAGTTTGAAAATAATCTTGTACAAAAAATTGAAGGAAACCCAACTGAATTATATACAAAATGTCAAGAATTCAATCTTTTTTGCAGAAAATTATGCTGTAGTCACATTTTCTCTAGCAAAAGAGCACAATAATATTTTAATCAAGCTAATGATATCTCACTGAGAAGAAGACAAAATATGCTTTAGGTAGCCAATTGTGGTCAATTCCAGGATCAATAACACAAATTCTACACAGGTCCTAAACATTATTATAACATTATTTTGTGGAAAGTAAGTAGAAGAAAGACAGTTATACAAGCACTGGAACATTTGTATTTGGTGAAAATTAGAATTTGTTGACCCCATGCAAGGTAGACTTTCGTGCTAGACAGGTCTTATTCCAGCTGGAATTGAAAATTGATATCAGGATTGGCACAAGCTAAATCCAAAGTTAATGGTTGGTGGTGTAAAACAAGGAGACCCAAATTCTTGCTGAGAAGGATTTTTCATTTAGAAGACTATTAAAACTGGATAAATTTAAAGCTTTTGTAATAAATGTAGCAAACCAGCTAAGAATAGATATAAGCTACTATTATGTGAATAACTGAAAAATTTTCACAGCTTCACAATGGACATAAGTGAAGAAAGAAGTAGACACTGCTAGTAGATTAAAGTAAGGACTACAAATAAAGAGAGATTACTGTCTCATTTAGTGGAGTAGCAAACCATTTGACAAGAGCCATTGTGAAATTTTTTGTGACCTTGTTATTAAATATCAAGACAATTTTTTCTAGTAGAACTAGTGATTTTAATTTGACAAGAGCCATTGTAAATTTTTTTGTGATCTTATTATAAATATCAAGACAGTTTTTTCTAGTAGAACCAGTGATTTTAATTTGACAAAAGCCATTGTAAAATTTCTTGTGACCTTGTTATTAAATATCAAGACAGTTTTTCTAGAAGAACTAGTGAATTTAAATTAACAAGACAGTTTTTTCTAGAAGAACCAGTGATTTTAAATGAACAAGTTATTTCAAAGAAGTTTAATACACTGGTGATTTGAGACTTAACCATTTATTTACTTAATGTCTATTTAGTGCTAAGTGAGTTGGAGTGCAGGAATTGATTTAGTTCCATTAAGACTATTAGGATGTAGAATTGATTCTACTTTTTAAATACTTTGTCTATTTGTATTTGGTTTCCACCTCGGATCTGAAGAGTGGGTATCAACAAGAAGTATTAGACAGCTGAATCTGAAAAGAAATGATAGTGAACTTTAGCAATTTTTTCTTTTTGTACCATATGAACTATTCATAAGTTAAATAAAATAAAATATTTTAATTCTAAGTAAGCTTTGAATCATTTGTCATCCTCAGAAGGATTTCCAATATACACAAATATGTTAAGGAGTGTATTAATCACTATGGTTATTATTTGCTGACAATTGCTTGAAATAAAATTTAATTTTTTTTTTTTTTTTCTTATGTTTACTTTCAACATTGTACTTGTTATTATCTGGTTTCAGTTCTGGAGATTCCACAGCAAGGATATGGAATATGAGTGATAACATTGGTGCTGGTCCAAACCAGCTGGTTCTTAAACACTGTATTCAAAAAGGAGGGACTGAAGTACCCAGTAACAAGGATGTTACTTCATTAGATTGGAATGTGAGTACTATGTAACAGTAAAATATGGGCAGAAAATACTGGAAGTTTCGTCCAATTCCGTGAAAAGAATTGAAATCTTTATTACAAAAAACTGGCTGGACTTTATAGAATATTATTGATTTATAAGTAAGGTATGAGAAAATACAAACAGTACTTGTTGTTATGGTTAGTAGCCTATACAATCAACAAAGTTTTAATTATTAATTAGTTACATTTTTGCATTAGAGATACTAGTTATTAATTAATTCTTATCCTACATTTTGATTGATAATTTGCTGCTATCTTAAGGGAAGTCTTTAGAAGGACTGTTTTTGTGGTGGTAGTAGACAGAATTCATTCATCTTGTTAAAGAGGCTGGTGTGCTATCCACTCATCTGGGATCTTAATTAGGACTTGAATCATCTGTTTGAATGATATCAAGAGGGATGACCTGGTTAGATCCTCAGCTCACAATCTATGAGTTTTAATATTGCAAACCTAGTGTCAAACATGTTTGCCTTTTCAACTGTGGGAGCTTTATAATGTGATGAGCAATCTCACTTTGTATTGGCAAAGAGTAGCCTAAGAGTTTGCATGGGCTGCTGCTGGCTCATTCCCTTTCCTGTGGTTGGCAGCTCCAAACTACGGATGACAACTTTCCTTGAGAATTTTATCATTTTAAATATGTCAGCAGAGTATCTGTAGTGTTTCAAGGGTTGGTATGTTTGTGAAGAAGTTGTATATAAAAAACAGCAAGTAATAGTTAGATTATGTGGTTATATAGGCTACTAACCATGACAGCGATTGATATCTGACCACCAAAACGTTACTGGAAATATAAACAGTACTATTTTGTGTAATTTTTACTTCATTTACTAGAAATATGTACTTTTCTTTTTTAATTTTTTTTTTTCGGTTGGATGTTTTGACCTTGTTTTTTTTTTCCATGAAAGAATATGTGTTTATGCCATAAAAAGGTTACATAAACTTCCCCTCATGTATACAAACTGTGATATTTTTTCTGAAATATAAACTTTCAGTACCATTTCTACCTATGGACTATGACTCTTATTCTGATACAGCGGTACATGTTTCATTTTACTAGTGATATAAAACTGTTAACAGGTGATACAGTTGTATAGTCTACATATCTTTTGGTTCACATTTTATTCAACTGAAAGAGGGTTTGGAGATATCAAGGCCATTAGAGCTGTAGCAATTTCTTTTTTTGGAGTTTTTTTTCATGAAATGTTTTAAAATAGTTTCAACATATATAGAAATAATTATGTATGTATATATGATGGCATGGTTTGGTGGTTAGGGTGCTCAACTCTCAATCTTTGGGTAGTGGGTTCAAATCCCCATCACCAAACATGCTTGCCCTTTAGGGTTGCTATCAAGGCCAGCCACCAAAGTTTAAAAATATTTGACTAGTATAAAAAAAAAAACAGACCCCAAGTGGCCGACCCCAAAACTAGATGGGTTTAAGGTTGAATGAAAAGAAGAGTGTATATACCATACACCACACATATATAGTGATAAATGCATTTCAATGGCATTTTGTGCCTCATTTCTTTATAGTTTACCCCTATTTTTATTGCAAATGGAGCTACATGTATCATGAAACACTGGGAGTTGCCAACAGATATCCTGTAGTGAATCCTTCAGTAATTCTTATTGATTTTTTTAGTAAAAATTGCACTACATAATCAACCTTGTTATTTCGAAATTTTTTCATCTATGTACATTCAAGTATAAGTTAAAAGAAAGAAAACATACATAATATATGCAAAGAACTATGTTATGAGTGAGTTATCTTGTGAAAGAAAAAAGGGATAAAATTAATACTCTAAATATTGGTCACGAAGTCTTCAGTTTTTGAAAATCTTCAGTACATGAGAGATTAATAATATAAAATTCCATGCAAGTTGAACTGATTTTGTATGAGTATCTGTTGAAAAGAGAAGTACATCAATCCTGCCAGTTAGATACAGAAATCATGAGGCTGCCAAAAGGTTAATAAGCATACCTGTAAACTGCTAAAAATATCCATGGGGGATTTTTACTGGTATACGTTATGAATGTTAAGTGGAATATTGTTAATTTATAGAATAATAACAACAAGATGCACACACACACACACACACACACACACACACATATATATACTAATTTATTTAATACATGTAACAATAATTACAACAGTAAAGTAAAAAAAAAAGATCAATTAACTACTGTTCTTAACATTTAGAATTTTTCTGCTCATAGTATAGGTTCATATTTTGCTAAGAAACTACCATCCCTCGAAAATGAATGATTCATGTTTTGCTTTTCTATTGATGATTATGTTACTGCACCCCTTTGTTGCCACCCATTAATAATAATGCCACTACATGATGTCTGGATAATTACAAATATAGCTTTGTATTGTAAATACTTAGAGCCAACAGGTCAAAATGATTGGCTGGATGAAAATTTAGTCCATCTACATCAGTATAAAGTAAATAACATGGTTTAAGCAGTTATTTGTTTTATAAGATATTGGCTTCCCCAAACTTCTGTAATTGTGAGAAAAAAGTGATGCTTGGAACAGTTAGGAACAAATGACAGATCTGAGAACTTTTTATAGTTTCCTTAAGCGCTATTTTTGTTCTTGAAAATGTTTTTGTGTTGAATTATATCTGTTTTAAAGCTACAGAAATTTACTTTTATGAAAGGCATTATGTAAATTTAAGATTTAATGAGTATGGTAAGCAATGACAAAGTATTCCAATGATTTACTGATTCAATAAAATTTGTGTTTCTCAGAAAACACGTGACTACCAAACATTTAGGTATAACTTTTGCAAAATTATACAGAAATGTATGATTTACGTAATATACTTGGAAAAAATAAGACTTGGAAGGTGATAAGCCATTCATAATTATGTTTATTAGGTCTATTTCTAATAGATTAATTAAATTAATACCCTTTCACATTGAGGTTTTAACTTGGGTGATTAAAATTATTTAATACTAACAAGTAAAGTCATTAAAGTTTTGAGCTTGAATTTAACCAACTGCATAGAGAAACCAGATATAATAAAGCATCTTATTTTTCCATATGAAACCACTAAGTATTCCATGAAATATTGGGTTTATGTTTTTCTATAAAATTCCATTTTGTCGTCTATTGCACTAATATTTCATTTTCTGAAAGGTTGAATGAAACAAAGATTTTCACCTATTATTGTCACAAAATGCTAATTTTATTTAAAAATATTTTATTTTGTATTTAGAATAGACACCAATATATATCTGCAGTTACAAGGATAACACATAAAGTAGTAAACAAAATGCAGATTTTGGCAACTAGACTGCCATGCAAAAACACCCTTTGACCTTGTTTTAAATCATGGACTGATGTGTTATCTAGAACTTATGAGGCTAGGATTTGTAATAGTCTGTGTAGATTAACAAAACTGAAATAATATATGATTTTTTTAAGGATTCGTTTTATAGTATATAACTGTACTAATTTACAAACAGCTAATGTTTTCGTTTATCTTTCTAGTCTGATGGAACATTCCTAGCAACTGGTTCGTATGATGGGTATGCTAGGATATGGACGACAGATGGTAAGTCTTCAAATCTCCAGCTCTTCAGACTTTATTAAAATAGCTGTTACTTCTTTATACTTGTTTTTTTTTTTTATCATGTGCAGAATGTTTGAAGTGACAGGAAAATGATGTCTGTGAGCCTTAAATAAAATGGTTTTTAGCTTTCAGTAATATACCATTTTTAATTATAAAATATATCTAAAATTTAAGTTCCTCATTTTTAGTGGAATGTTCTTTTGTACAAATTCCAAATATAACTGATTTTAGAAAGGTAATTAGCACATCAGGGTATTTTTAATCACAAAGAGAAAGTGGTTACTTAGAAATGATAAAATTGGGAACGTTAATGAACAAATGGGGTACTTGTAGTATTGAGTTGAAGTAAATGGAAACTGATATCTTGAATATCCTGTAGCTTGGGAAAGTGCAGAATACAAAAGTGGTGGTGTACTGGTATTTCCAGGTTCTTTGTTGTTTCACAGTCACTTTGTGTCTGAGTAGGTGTTACCAGCATCAACTTAACCTCAGTAGTGGCAGTCTTTCTACAAAAGTGGAATTATAAGCTGAAACCATAAAGCAAGATGTATGTGTAAAAATAATTAACGTTTAAAATTAAATTAAAAGAAACTTTCTTTTTTCTAAGCATATCGGCAGAACATGAACATACAATTATTAGTTGATACAAACACAAAAAAATTTAATTAATAGATTGTATAGAAACTAAATATGTTTAATAATTTCAATACACAAATTAAATGTCACACAACATTAACTTGATATTTCAAATGAACATATAAAACTTCCCTCTCTGCATAAACTTAATATTTTGTAATCAGTATAGACATGTAACTAATACTTCCCACAGAACATAAACTTAATATTTTGTATTCAGAATTGACATGTAACTAATACTTCCCACATAATATAAACTTAATATTTTGTAATCAGTATAGACATGTAACTAATACTTCCCACAGAACATAAACTTAATATTTTGTAATCAGTATAGACATGTAACTAATACTTCCCACAGAACATAAACTTAATATTTTGTAATCAGTATAGACATGTAACTAATACTTCCCACAGAACATAAACTTAATATTTTGTAATCAGTATAGACATGTAACTAATACTTCCCACAGAACATAAACGTAATATTTTGTAATCAGTATAGACATGTAACTAATACTTCCCACAGTATATAAACTTAATATTTTGTAATCAGTATAGACATGTAACTAATATTTCCCACAGAACATAAACTTAATATTTTGTAATCAGTATAGACATGTAACTAATACTTCCCACAGAATATAAACGTAATATTTTGTAATCAGTATAGACATGTAACTAATACTTCCAACAGAACATAAACTTAATATTTCATACACAGTAAAAATGTGTAACTAATACTTTCCACACAACATAATATTTGATATTTTTTATACAGTACAAACAAGTATCTAATACTTCCTACCCAACATAAACTTAATATTTCATGTATTGTACAAACGTGTGAACAACACTTCTCTCACAATATAAAAAGTAAAACCGATGCGTCACGATCTAAAATATACAAGATTTTCTCAGTTACCCTAAACTAGTTTAGTGCATGCATAATCTTGTTTGTCTGAGGTAAAATGGGTTATTGTAATTGTTATTGTATTGTAAGATTTGTAACAACTGTGTTAATATATTTTGTTAAAGTTGGTAGAATAAAAAGTTAATGAAAATATGTGTATATTTCTGTGAGGGAAAGTAAAGAAGGTTGGACATTTGTGATGGATTATTCAATATACTCAGTCAACAAAAAAGTATGCAAATTTTTTTCCTTTGCAAAATAACCAAAATGGGTAGTTAGGTATTCCTGTCAAAAATATATCTATCCATACATAATTTTGTGTATGTGTATATATGTGTGTGTGTTTCATTATTGTTTATTTTTATTGTATTTTTAAGGTCGACTTGCTAGTACTTTGGGTCAACACAAGGGTCCAATATTTGCTCTGAAATGGAATAAAAAGGGAAATTACATATTAAGTGCTGGAGTTGACAAAGTAGGAGTTTTAAGATTTCTTGATGTTCCTGTTTTTTAATTTTTCCAAGGCTAAAACAAAATCATCGTGTAAATTATATTTCTTTAATTCTTATATGGATGAATTGATATTTTCATTCCACGTTAACCTTGAAGAAACAAATTTTTACTGAGAAAAATATATTAAAATAATTCATTTAAATGTGTTTCTAGATTTTTTTTTTTTGGATTCAGTTTAGTTATAATGAGTGAATTGTAGACTCTTTTTCACTTTTTAACAAATTCATTATTTGGCCCTGAATTAATCTTTATTTATGACAGTAAATTTTTGGAAAAGTTGCCATGCAGTTGATAGGACTGAAAGAGAGAATTATAAAAGCTTGAGTGCATATTAAAATTGTATATTGAAGATTTCTTTGCTCATATAGAAAATGGTCTCATTCTTTATCTTTTAAAAGTGTCATGAGTAGACTTTTTTATAAATATTAATTTGTTTGTTTACACTGCAACCTGGAAAATGTTATATTCCTTTAGTATATCTCAAGCTCAGATTCCACCAGATGAAGTAGAAAAGTGTCATGAACATGTTTATTTCTAAGGTAATATAAAAGATTTGAAATTTAGAATGTATTTTTTTATTATTATTTCTACAGAGTATTATCCATTTATAATACTGTATCTGTATATTTAAAACAGCTGTATCTCTCTTTTAGGAAAATGTTCCAAAGGCCATATAAACTTTTCTGTGAGCATATTCTGTACATTTACAACACTTGTAGGTTGCTGTAGGAAAGGATATTCACTGGGTTGTATTGTATATTCATAAAGTTAGTATTAAATTAACTCCTGTTTATCACAAAATATTTTCTTTTATTAGACAACAATTATTTGGGATGCCAGCACTGGGCAGTGTACACAGCAGTTTGCTTTTCATTCTGGTAAGTATCTAATTGGTAATTAGGAATAGGAATTTCATTTTTTGATATTTGGTAATAATTATAGTTATTTTTCCTAAAATCATCAGTCTTCTAGCTTTTCACATCTGCTTTTATTTACTTTTATTGTCTCATTGAACTGTATCTACCAACTAAACCAGATAGTTCAAGTTACATAAATGAATTACATAATTTACAAGCAGCTTGTGTGCAGACCTCACTGAGAAATTTTATTCAACCTTTTTTCATTTGCGATTTTTCATCTAACCTAAGTTTATAATTACTCGAAACTCTGGCATTCTTTAGAAATAGACTTCTCTAAGGTTTTGTTTCTCACGGGACTTCTTTCTCAGTGACTGTTTCAAGAACCTTGTATTGAGAGGCATTTATGATGCCACAGCAAGTGGCTTGGACAAGTAACTAATAAATCTTAGCCTCTAAACATTAAAGAACAATTGGTTAAACAGAGATGAAAGTCTTCCGGATATATCCGGAAATCCGGATATTTCTAAAAAATCCTGAAAACCTCCGTTTTTTTTCCAGAGAAACATATTTTTTAAAATTATTTATCGGATTTTGGTGTTCCATGCCATAGATAAGCGTTTATGCAATCGCGCGGTTTGTTTACATTCGGCGACAGGGCGCCGCCATTTTGTTGTCTCGCAATGCTTGCTGGCGTGTACAAG